GCTCAAGAAGCATTATGTGATTACAGAAGTAATTGTCACTGTGTAAAATATTAATGTGCCACCCATAAAGCTCACTATATTTGCTATAACGGTTATTCTTATGGTATACAAGATTATTTATATGTTTTTGATTATGCCTATCATGGTCAAAATCTGAACTGGAACTGGCAACCTGCCATGGCAAAAAGGTAGATCCAGTTAGATGTTTTTATATTGTATGCTGGGAAATGTTGGCAGGTAATAAACCACATATTTAGTCATGTGCCCACAATGCCATCACATTAATGACTCTTTACATCTGTCTAGTGAAAAGATTCCAACCTTTAGACCCTTTTCCTTTATATCAGTATTTTCCTTTTTCTGTGCTGCGCAGCTGTCTGGGTGTAGCACGGGCTTGATCGATCAGGCAATCAAAGTAAACCAACACTCGGGTGGGATACAAGAAGATTGCGAAGTTTATTACGTACATTACAGCTTATATTGACAAAAACCACAAACCCAAATTATCCAATAGCAAAGCATACCTTTTCTCTTTTACCCAGATACTAGACAAAGTTTAACTTTCCCTAAACAGTTAAACCCCCAGTCTGCACATTCTACCTATTTGGTTATGTCCCCGGCTCTCTTATCTGAGTATCAATCTATATTTTCTAAGAAACTTTGAGAACATCTGTGATATAGCTTTCATCCTTGTACAATTGCGGTTACACCTGTTACATACACATTCTAAAACATATTCTAAAATTTTCCATATAAGCTTGAATATAATGCTGATATTTCTTATTTCATTTACTTAAAGCATCACTCTAACTCATTAAGACAATGCAAGCATAATGAAAACAAAATGGTACATGAATCAATAGCCCTAGCTCATATTTTCCCACATCTAGCACCTTCATGTGTGCACGAGAAGATGACTTTAGAAGGAATGCATGGACCTTTTTTGATTCTCTGTCTATTTAACACAGGTTGGCACCTTAATCCACTATCTTCCACCTAAAACTAAAATACAAAATGTAACACGTTTATCATTCCTATTGGAAATTCCATTAGCTTGAGCTCCTGATAATGACCACAACCTTGAAACCCCCAGGAGATGGAATATAGTGGTTCATTTAGCACAACTGGTCCAACATATAATTCAACTATTAGTTAGTTTTGAGGGAACAGTACGTTGAAAATGAAACTCGCTCCAAAATGTTAACTTTTTCTAGTTTTGTATAGTGTGAAAGAGTTCGACATCAATAAATACTGACAGAAGTTCTGTTTCCATCACTGCATTTTTTTTTTCTGCTCTTCCTATTCCAGAAGACACATCAGGAAGTAAGCTAACATCTCCCCAAATTGAAGGAAGTCTTTTTTCCTTGACAGTTGTCAGTGTAACAGGGGTCCTTATTGGAAGATTTCTCCTCTCTCTCTCTCTCTCTCTTTGTTGATGACAGATGATAAATGCAGGGTTCCCCCTCACCTTCTGTCCTGGGAACAATGGCACCTATGACAGGGTCAATCTTCGCGTTTAGGCAATGTAAAAAATGTCAACACTCTCAAGGTAGAATCATCATCCCATGTTACAATAACCTTCCAGGTTATACTTTAAGAAAGGACTAATAGAACCAAAAAAAAACCTCTACTGAACCAGGCATTGCATAGCATAGTAAGGTCTTCCCACTACAGGAGGTGTCCATTCCATCACGAATACCCAAAATAAAAGGATTCTTGCTCATTTCACAATAATGACTGCAGCCATGCAAATCAAAGCAAATACGGTAGATTTTAAAAACCTTCCAGGAGTTCTAACAGTTCTCGTCCATTCCTAAGACTCGAAAGCAATTTGGCTGAAGCTCCTTTAGCTATAAATTTGTAGAATATGAAGGATATATTTGAACTCCCCAAACTTAAATTGCAAGAAGATTGGACTTGCATCAAGACTTCACTTATTTCAATTTTATGATGACAGGAGGTATTTTTTGTGTTCATTTTATGGGTTTATTTTAAATAGTTGTGGCCTACAAACTGAACACATAGGTTTAGCTGAGCTCTTCACTAACAACATACTGCTTGAGAGTTGTGAACAATATCTGGACTGAGAACCTAGAAGTTATTACTGATCTATAAAGAAAAAATTTACCTAAAATTGCAGTTTTTATTACAGGTTATATAATGCCATCAGTTTTACGCAGCACTTTACATATTTATGATACGTTCAAGTCAGTGCCATCCCTCAAGGAGGTTACAATCTAAGGTCCCAAACTCATTCATACATATAGAAGGGCAAATTTACTCTAGTAAAAAAAAGTTTTGTTTCTCTGTTGGAGAACTGCATATCTGAGAGAATTTGGGAAGATTGGGACTCTAAATCTTTTATGTAAAATACTTTACCTCTGAACAATTTTATTGCTATTTTTATTTTCTATAACAAACGAATAAACAGATTTGTTTTTAGTTTTCTTTCCTAATTCAATCAGTGCATGTTTCCTTCACCATTTGTGGTCCATGGGCATGCTACACATGCCCAAAAATGTCCTGCGAGTGCAGCGCATGTGTAGTAAACCTTTCCTTTCTGATTAACGTCTTCCCCTTCTGAGCTAGTATTTTCCTGTCAATTTTTGTTTTTATTTATTTTAAACAATATTTTTTTTTGTTTTAATGAGCTTTGCTTAATATTTTTACTTTTTTTTTTTTTTTAGTGCTGCATTAAAAAAGCACAAAACTGAAAAAAAATGTAAACAACTTTGTAATGCTTTCTTTTAAACTAACATTGATTTTTTTGAGGGTCTGTGGATTGCATTAAAAAAAGCATTTTTGTAAGAAAATATCCCCCAAAAAACCCTTTTTGTCCTAAAAAATGATATATGTAATAGTTATCTTAAGTAATGTCAAAGTTCTTGCCAAATAAACAGGCCCAAGGCAGACATCTAAAATATGCTCTGGCCCACAGGTGTGAGCTGAAATGATTAAACCAATCTAAAGAAAACAATCTTCTGCTGAAAAGTATTGGTGGACCCCTTTTGTCTGTCATCTGGCAGGTAAAACTAGATGTTCTGTGAATCCTTTTCCAATGTCTTGAGCCTTGAAGGAATTCCGAGTATTTTTGCCAAAAGCACATTTCCTTTCAATAGACCCTGATCAAGAGTTGAAGTTACAAATTACAGAATTCCTGATGTTAGAACAGATTTACTACCTAGATTGTAAGCTCGAAAGAGCAGGGCCCTCGAACCCCTCGTGTATTGTTTTGTTACTGTATTGTCTCACGTTCTGTCCCCCACTATAATGTACAGCTCTGAGCAAACCTTTTGGCGCTATATAAATACTGTATAATAACATTACAGTTAGACTTGTTAGGAAACAGACTCGCTATTGGCTTAATGTAGAACTGTAGGCTGTTAATTAAAACACAACTCAGTAGGGTACATGATTTAAAATCTTTAGTATGTTCTTTTAAACCAAAAATCTTATTGGTAGGTACATTCTAAGGTGTGCAACCTTAGAGCCAGTCATTCTTGGTATCTTAGGGGCACCAAAACACTTGAGATACATCAGGATGGTAACATATGGACCAAGGTAGATCACGTGGACTTTGTCCCATTTGAGCATTGTTTGACACATTAGTTGATTTTTGTTTTGATGTTTTGAGAATCGGGTAACACCATTATGTCTAGAGACACCACCTGCAGATGCTGCTCATACTGAGATGAGGCCAGCAGCAGGGCACATCTGCAGACTATGTAAATATGGGCATCTTATGAATGCAGTAGTGTATATGTATGCATATATGGTTTATTGCCTGAGATCATGCTTGTTTGTTCTACCACTGAATTAAGTCTGTGGCCCTTACCCCAGGCTAAATAATAAAGTGGTAGACAAGCAATAATTCAGATAGTTGTGTAGAGTAAAATATATCACACTACTTTATGGTCCTGGCGGTTTAGAAGTCTTAATTCATTCTTGAACAGGAGATAAAGGTTTGATTGCTCACTGCATTTTCTACTTTAACATACTGCTTCTGGTAAATCTAGGAAACAGCTGCTTAAGAGTATAAATTACAGGGCACCAACCACAGCATTATGTTAGAACATGCTTAACTTAATGAAAATATTAGGGGGTCACAAAATGACATACTACTACATAGGGACATGTCAGTAAAATGGGGTGGAACTAAAGAAATTTTGAAATCTTTCTAATAGTTTCTATTTTTTCTGATTCTTGACATCACTGAAAACTTTGTTTACATTAACAGCTACATTTTGTCCTTGCAAAATCATGTAGATTTTGTTGCATTAGTTTGCTCGACTTAAAGAAACACTATGCAGAGTAAAGCAACAAGTTGGCCTTAATGCCCCTCTCTCTAGCAGAACATGCTTATCTATCTACTGCTCCCATGAACCTTGGTCTAGGCAATGGGAGTGAGAAAAAGAAGCCCTGTGTACAGCATCTTATGAAGTTTATTCAGGGCTGAAGACCTTCATACCATTATTATGTGGCAGTGCTTTGTCAAATATCAAGCACTTGCACTGACACTATCCTCAGCTCCCCCACTGAACTGACCAATGGGTGAATGTAAGAAATGTATAAGCTGCCAGGGGACGGAGGAGGGCCTTAAAACCCGACCTGTTTCTTTAAACTGCATAGGCATTATAATGCGGTTTTAAAAATACTCTTTTGCCATCTAATAACAATCTTAATTTCATTTTCAGAAGCCATTATAAGGATTAGATGCAAGCAGTGAGACCTCAGTCCTGGAAGATCTGACCTATGGAGCATAGTCCTGGTAAATGAGTCGCGTTTTGGATGTCATGGCGTCAATACTGCTTGGAATGTGTCTCCTCTTCAGCCAGCCTAAGCTGGTTACTTCTTACCCAGCTTCAAATGAAAAGGCCTATTCACCACCACCTCCCATAAATGAACAGAGGACTGCCATTCACCCTAATGGTACCCAGCAGTATCTACCACATACCATTATTATTGGGGTACGTAAAGGTGGAACAAGGGCCTTGCTAGAAATGCTTAGCCTTCATCCTGACATTTCTTCAGCAGAAAGTGAAATCCATTTTTTTGACTGGGAAGATCAATATAAAAAAGGTTTACAGTGGTATGTTGGCCAAATGCCATTTTCTTATCCCCATCAGCTCACGGTGGAGAAAACCCCTGCATACTTTACATCCGTTAAAGTCCCAGAGCGCATCTACAATATGAACAGCACAATAAAACTCCTTCTCATCCTAAGAGACCCTATTGAAAGAGTTTTATCAGACTACACACAAGTCTTTTACAACCACTTGCAGAAGAATAAATCCTATCCACCGGTTGAGGACCTACTTTTGAGGAATGGTGAGCTGAATACAGACTACAAAGCAATAAATCGGAGTCTGTATTATAGTTTCATGGAAAACTGGTTATCGTATTTCCCACTTCATAATATTCACATCGTCAATGGAGATTATTTAATTCGAAATCCTTTTCCGGAAATACAAAAGGTAGAGAAATTTCTGAATCTATCTCCCCAAATAAATGCATCAAACTTTTACTTCAATAGGACAAAAGGGTTTTACTGTTTACGTGACAGTGGTCGGGAACGTTGCTTACACGAATCCAAAGGGAGGGCCCACCCACGTATAAACTCATTCCTGCTGGACAAATTACGGGATTACTTCCATGAGCCCAATAAAAAAATTCTTTCAACTTGTTGGAAGGACATTTGACTGGTTGTAAAATAAACCAACTGACACTGTTTTTCCGAAGGATATTTAAGCTATAACTTATTTGTAAATTGAATATTTCTTGCCAGAATTAGACGAGAAGGAGATAAAAAAAAAAGCTAGTTTTATTTTTATACTAATTAAGTGTGACTATAATTTGTATGGATTTTCATGGATAATAAATTATATTCATTTTGCAATATAGTAGACTTTTTTTTTTTTGTTTTATAATATTGTTCTACATAATTGAGCTTTTCTGACAACTAAATAATAAAGCTCTATGGGTATGTTTTTTTTTTTTTTTACTTAAACAAAAAATGTATGATCAGGAGGCAATATCACGGGGGGGGGGGGGGAAAATTGTAAAAATCATATTGCCCTGTATGTAAACTCCACCGTAAAAAAGAAAAAAAAAAAAACTTTCTTTTGGGAGAGCGGGGGATTACAACCTATTCCAGTTATTGCTGTCTGTTTCCACTGGGGAGATTCACTGCATGGTAGTTGGTACAGGAGGAGAGGGTAAATTTCCCTAGTAGTATATCACCCACCTTCAAGAACACCTGACTTAAAATGCTAAACCTTCTGTACTCTATATAAAACATCAATACATTTTACATTCATTATCTCATCCGCTGGGAATAAACAGGATAGTGAATCCTTTTCACAGCAAATTGTAAAATGGTGTTTAATGTTGTATGGGATGAACATGACTGCCCCATAAATGTGTGAAAATAAACAGAATGTTTTTTTTTTTTTTTTTTTTTGGATAATATATTAAGTAATGAAAAGATTGATGGCCCTGATTCCAAGTCATCTGTGTTAAGATGATATGGTCTTTCATTAATTAAGATCTTTATCCAGTTACTGTTTCCGTTTTGTCTTTGTGCACCTCTAAAATGCACCGGTGACCAGGCCATGGGCAGTAGCAACTTACATATCCTTAAAGCGGACCTTCTCCTGAAAATGAAAGTTGCTTTTATGGTCTTCCTCCCACAAACTGCTATTTTAATTGCAGTGTATTTTTTTTCTTGCAGAGAGCGAGTACCTTTTTTTTAAATCGCTTGTCTCCCCCCTATAGCAGATTACTGCTACAGGGCGGACTTCTGTGCAAAATCGCGTATATAAATGTGATTTTGCACTTCTGGTGTAGTGGGCAGAGTGATGCTTCTGCTGTCATTTGACACAGCAGAAGGCACCCATTGATCGTTGAGGAGAGTGACCGGTCAAAGCTCTGCCTATGTAAACAAGGCACAGCTGTGTCTTGTCTCCGGCGATGTGCTGGATTGTTCTGTGCAAAGCAGGGAATGCAATCCAGCACATCTATTAGTAAAAACACCTCACTGTACATGGTAAAACACTGGTTAGGCACATATTTAACAATTTGATTGCCCTCGATGTTAACCCCTTCACAGCCAGTGTCATTTAATACAGCAACAGTGTATAGAAGTCGCTGATCGCTGCCATTACTAGTATAGGAAAAAAAATTCCAGTGTATATATACACCATAGTTTGTAAATGATATAACTTTTGCGCAAACCAGTCAATATATGCTTATTAGGATTTATTTTGCCAAAAATATGTAGCAGAATACATTTTGGCCTAAATTTATGAAGGAATTAGATTTATTTATTGGGTATGTTTTATAGCAGAAAGTAAAGAGAATTTCAAAATTGTGGGGGTTTTTTTTATAGCCAAAAAATAAAAAGCCCTGAGGTGACCAAATATCACCAAAATGTTTTTGTGGGAAAAAAAATTATGTAAATTTCATTTATTTACATTGCATGCATGACCATGCAATTATCAAAATAACACAGCACCGTATAGCAAAAAAAATTGCCTGGTCATAAAAGGGGGGGGGGGGGTATAAATCTTCCGCTCAAGTGGTTAATGAGTATGCACTCCCACTTCCTTAAAGTGCTTGTAAAAGCTTACATATGCCTAGTGAAGTGACTGGCCTCAGGTGATGCACAAAGATTTACCTGTCTTCTCTCCTGCATTTATTCAAAGTGCTGAGTTTATAAAGCTTCTGAGAGTTCATAAAAAAAGGGGGTAGAGAGCTGAAGTCACACTCTGCAGAGCTCAGTGAGAAGAGCTCTGAGAGCTGATTGTAGGAAAGACACCCCCCTGCACACAAGAAGTGATTCATGCAGATAGAGGAATGAAGCAGCAGACAGAAATAACACTTGGTGTTCCTAATTGAGACAAGTACACACTATAGAGGGATTGGCTTTGTTCATATTTCATGTCCAGAATACTTTTGGGGTATTTTTGTTTAAAAAATGTAGTCATTTTGTGGATGTTTATACTTTTCTTGCACTTCAGGGCTCCAAAATGTGATGGGTAGTCAGGAAATTGGATGTGTAATTTTTACCACTTGAAAGGCTAAAGGTGAGCCTTAGATTTTGGATCCCTCTGTGTCTATGCCGTTTTTTAGGCTGGTTCAGACTGTTTTTGACAGGCCATTCATTTCAATGTGCTGCCAAATGCATGAACACTCAAAAGTACAGCAGGGGTGATTTTTTTAAATTAGTGTTCTGTGGTACCATGGAGTTTGATGGCCACGTACCTGCACGCATCTAACAGAAGGCAGCACATTCTCATGCATTGTGGGAAGCCCAGCACATTTTTTTTTTTTTTTTTTTTTCTTTTTGCCATGTCCCATTGAAGAGATCTCTTCACATTCGGTACTATATACACAACAAGAAGTGAGAGGACATCTTTTTAAGGTAAATAAAATGCCCTATTACCTGTTAACATAAGTGTCACCTTTGAAAGATTTCCCCTCCATTTAAGTTGTGGTGGCAACTCCGCATTTGGACTTCACTTTTTGTCCCAGAGATAGAAGTAATCAGGGCAAAGAAAAAAAATTGTAAAAATGACAGGAGTACCAACCCCCCTGCACTCTATTACATTTTGACATGAGTTGATCAACACAGAAATAATTCTCATGCTTAACCGCTTCCCAACCGCCCTATAGCAGAAATACTTCTACAGGGTGGCATGGGTGTGCAAAATCGTGTGTGTGTATATATACATATGTGATTTTTGCATTTCCAGGTAGGGGGTGCGTGTCCTACCTACACCGCCATTTGAGGCCATTCGAAGTAATACAGGTTTCCTCCCTGTCAGCTCATGCACACTGCTTTGGTTGGCTGTGCACAGCACAGCCATGCAAAGCAGTGTGCTTAGTGAAGCACAGACACACAGCAGTTAGTAAAACCCCACACACAGTTATCCCTTTGATCGCCCCTCATTAACCCCTTCCTACCTAGGGGCATTAGTACAGTGTCAGTGCGGTTTTTTTTTTTAGCACTGATCACTGTATTGGTGTCAGTGACACCAAGTCAGTTTCCCCCAGTGTCAGAATGCCCTCTGCAGTGCCGCTATAAGTCACTGATCGCTGCCATTACCAGTAAAAAAAAATCCCAGTGCATATACAGCCATTTGTAAATGCTATAACTTTCACGTAAACCAATTAATTTAATTTTACATGTATTGGAATTTTTTTTTTTTTTTTTTAGCAAAGACATGAAGCAGAATACATTTTGGCCTAAATTTATGGCAAATTTTGTTTTTTGTAAGAATTTTTTACTAGACAGGTTTAATAGCAAAAAGTCAAATATTTTTCTTAATTTTTTTTTTTTTTTTTTTTTTTTTCTATAGTGCAAAAAATAAAACCTGCACAGGCGATCAAATACCACCGAAAGAGGAAAAATGTGTGGGGGAAAAAGGACATAAATTTTCATTTAGGTGCAGCGTTGCATGACCATGTACTTGTCAGTTAAAGTAACATAACGTGAGAAATGGCCTGGTCAGGAGGGGGGGGGGCGCAAGTGGTTAATCATTAAGTCTTACAGTGATGTTCCCTGGATTGCTATATCAGAGAGCTTCCTATTCTGAAGTAGGAGCCACTGTAAGTGTTACTTGTAAATCTAGTACCATGGTCTCACCTGTCATAAAAAAAGTGTAGTGGGGTGCGCGAGCATTTTCAGGTGACTTCTGGGCATAATCTGAAGGTGTCCCGTTTCTGGTAAAATGGAAAAACACACTGAACACATATCAGATGAACCTTTTTTCTATTGCATCATGGCATGATTAAAAAAAAAAAAGTTTGTAAGCTCTCCGTCTATATATATATTTTATTAATGCATTCTGTACTTGCCTCCCTGCAAAGTGGAAACAACCACTCAAGATATAGATGTGGGTTTCCACAGGATAAATGAAACTAAAATTATGGGAGATCTAACTTCTGCAGTACCTTTTCAGAAGGTATGGCATTACCAGATTGTATGCCACAGGCTATAAGAAACTGATGGCAGGACCAACAGTAGAAATGTAAGTTGAGGCCTCACTAAACCATCATGCTTGTGGATCTACCCTCCCCCTCTACCTCAACTAACCCATTTGGTTTCCATGCTAACTTTTTTCATTCCCATAATTAGTTTCCTTCCTACCATTTTTATTCCTCTTCTTCTTCCTTTCCCTTCTGCCCATGCTATCCTCTCACTACTCTCCAGCATATCCATCATCCTTAATCTGTATACCCACTCATTTGCCTTGCTTTCCAACAAACCTTTCTATTTAGCACTCTTATTAATAAAAATGTTAGAAGAAATAGGATGCCTCAGGCTTGCTTACATTAACTTCAACCACTTATGGCAGTTGTTACCCCTCTCCATTGAATTAATCATCTTTGTTAGGAACATTCCCTTTATACTTTCTGGGAATACCGCAATGTCTCCATTGATACCATTCTAACGCAAGCAAGTTTGCTTACTAAAGGCAAATGGGCTGTTTACTTTAAGGGACAGTGCAGTTTGCAAGGGAATTTTCCTCAGACCTTAGCGAGTGTGGTGGTGTTTTCGCTTTCCAAAGATAAACCCAATCACAAGCACAGAAAATTACAAAAAATAATTTTTTGCTTGCACGATTGAATGAAGTCAGTGGCGCTTCACTTTATTCACTAAGCTCTCAGAAATATTCCCTCACAAAGTGTGTTTCCC